CTTTTGCATCTCTAGTCAGGAACAACAAGGGAAAGAGGCGGGGCTCATGTGTAATGCAGCATCAGGGGAGGAACTGCTTATGTAACTGGGACAGCAGATTTAGCAGCAGAGAGGAGGCGCAGAGGCTTGGGGATGGGAGCAGTGAGTTGTCGGAAGGGGCAACATGCCCAGATGGCTGCTCCTCATAAGGTAGGGTGTGGGGCTCTGGCAGCTTGTTTAGGGGAGGTGAAAGGCATGAGCTTGAGGCCTGGGAACTGGTAATAACAGTGTTGTCCACTGTGAGGGTGGGGCAGGGAGGTGTTACCATCAAAGTATTTATGGTAGGTGCAGTACTGAATCTCTGATGCCTTATCGGGAAAATATCCAAATATTTCCTAGAGGATTTTAATTGTGTGCAGGAAATCCAGACCTTGGCGTGAAGCAAGGACTGTAGCAATTTTGCCTGGGGTTCAAATTTACATCTCTAGGGTTGAGATTTGAGGGAGTGCCTGCTAAATGGGCAGAACTTGTAATGCCCCAGGGGCAGCAGGTTTAGTGGCTCCCTTGGTTCTCAGCAGGGTGGCAACATCCAGGGCCCCTGGGTCCCCCTGGGTCCGAGGCTAGAAGAGCCTCTGGCCAGGTGTGGGGACCACCAGGTCAGGTCTGAAAGAGTTGCTGTGGGGACTACAGGGGCATCAGTTCCTGCACCAGGAGCCCCTGGAGCCAGCCCCACTGCTAGTAGAGAAGCCTCTGCCTGAGTGGCCAGTGCCTCAGTTCATCAACCTCTTTCTGCCGGAGTTTCCTATTAGGCCCCTTAGGGGGCATCAGCAGCTGAAGGTAGGTCAGTGGAATCCCTGGAAGGGGTCTCAGTCTTGGGGAGAAATCTAGAAACAATCAGTCTCAACTGCCCTGTTCTCCACTTCTCTGTACAGATTTTAGGCCTTGTGGCTAAAGGCTCCTTTGGAACTGTCCTCAAGGTGCTAGACTGTGGCCAGAAAGCAGTATTTGTGGTGAAGGTAGGGACCTAGATACTCTTCCACATTATTCTCTAGTCCCTGCCTCCGATCTTTATTCCAGAAAGGTTGGGAGGAATAAACAATTTAATATACTATTCCCCACTGGGAGTCATCACTCCTCTCCTTTTATAGGTGGTGCCCAAAGTAAAGGTCCTACAGAGGGACAACCTGAGGCAGTGCAAAGAGGAGGTCAGCATCCAGGTATGCACAGAGCCCTGGAAAAGATCCTAGGAAGAACCAAACCACAGGCGGAGCAAGCACCTTTCTTGTCCTGCTTTTCCTGACTCTGACCCCTCCCTCTGCTTCAACCAAGAGATCCCAGGAAAAGTAGCTATCAGTAGAGTAATTCTAGGTCCTGCCAGGGAAATCTCTCCAGCATGTCCAGTGTGTTCCTTAGTACTGGGATTACCAGGCAGGCAACCTGTACTGAGAGGTGGGGCAACAGCTTCCTTTCTGCACAACAAGGTAAATCCTGACTTCTTGGCTGCCTTGATCCTCAATGACCCTGATCCTAACTTCCTGTTTTCTTGTCCATAGCGACAGATCAACCATCCTTTTGTACACAGTTTGGGGGACAGCTGGCAGGGAAAACGGCACCTCTTCATGAGTGAGTGACTGGATTCTCTCCTCATTCCCAGGGGCCCTTCTACCATACTCCCCACCTGAGATTACCCATCCCTTTGGCTTGTTCTGCCTTTGCTCTGTTCCCCTTTTCATAGTACTTCTCTCTCCCAGAGGGAGAGGGAACAGCAGGTGGCATCGGTTTGGGCAGGAGGCATACGATGCCTTGAGCCCAGGCATAGTAGCCCCCAAATACTGCCTAGACTTCTGGTACTTTGCAGTGCGTAGCTACTGCAGCACAGATCTGTACTCCCTGTGGTCCGCTGTTGGCTGCTTTAGTGAGGCTTCCATCCGCCTCTTTGCTGCTGAGCTGATCCTGGTGCTGTGTAAGTGAAACAGGAGTGGTAATAGAAATGAGGGAAGAATTAAGCAGGGAGGGAGGCAGAAGAGAATTGATATTAACTCTGGAGGTCAAAGAACAGGGATAGGAATGAGGTGGGAGCTATCAGGGAAATTGGAAGGACAGGAGAGCTTCATGCTTGCTGTCATCCACAGGCTATCTCCATGACTTCGGCATCATCCATCGAGACGTGAAGGTAGTTAAATGCTTTTTCTTTTTGTCTAAGGAGGGACTTCAGTAAGATGTTCCAACAGGTCCAAGAAGGCAGGAGGAGCTGCTGAGAACAGTTGACCTTGGGGCCCTCATGGGTGTTAAGGATTTGGGCAAGGGCCCTCCAAGTATAGACTTGGATGCCGAGCTAGGGCACCTTCTTCAGCTGGGGGGTATAGTGTACATGATGAAAGATGACTGAAAGGAAGAGGATGAATAACTTCTCACCTGTAATTTTTCAGATGGAGAATATCCTTCTGGATGAACGAGGTAAGTCCTTTTCTTTTCCTAGTCCCAGAATGAGAGGTACCTCAGTTTGGAAGTAAGTCATGGCTGATGAGGGTTGGAACAGAGTCGTGCTGATGGCTTGTTTTTCACAGGCCATCTGAAACTGACAGACTTTGGCCTGTCCCGCCACCTGCCCCAAGGAACCCGAGCCTATACTATCTGTGGCACTCTTCAGTACATGGGTGAGAGAGAAGCTAAAGCTGGTGGGTAAGCATTGGGCAGGAGGATAGCTAACAGATATCAGTGACAAGTATCTTTCATATCTGTAGCCCCAGAGGTCCTGAGTGGAGGACCTTACAACCATGCTGCTGATTGGTGGTCTCTGGGTGTCTTGCTTTTCTCTCTGTCAACTGGAAAGGTGAGAGAATGGTAGTGATGTTGGGCAGAGAAGAGAGGAGTTGCCCTGCAGTGGGAAGAAAGAAGACCTTAGGAAGTCTTGCCTTATTTTTACTAAGCAATGACAGCTTCCCACCCCTTTAACTCAGTTCCCAGTGCCCGCAGAGAGAGATCATGTGGCCATGTTGGCAAGCGTGACCCACTATGACTCTGCGATCCCAGCTTCTCTTAACCAGGGGCTCTCACTCCTGCTCCATGAGGTAAGGGTGGGCATGACTTTCCTTCTTGACTCAAAAACCAT